TAATATTTTTAAATAAAAAAATTAAAAATTGATATTTTTATTTAGAAACTGATAAAATTAGTATCTTTAAATAAAAAGAATATAATAATTGTAAATTAATTCTTAAGTAAAAAAATTAAAAATTAATATCCTTAAATAGAAAAAATTATAAGTTAATATTTTTAAATAAAAAAAATAAAAATTGATATTTTTATTTAGAAACTGATAAAATTATTATCTTTAAATAAAAAGAATATAATAATCATAAAATAATTTTTCTGCAACAAAATCCAAAACAATTACAATACTAGATGGTTACTTATATTAAATTTGAAAATAAAAATATAAATGAAGATTTATATGGTAAGCATATAAGGTGTAAATAAGAAAAACAACCTATAAAAATGAAAAAGAAAACAAGAAGAAGGGACCATATCATGGGCACACAAAATATCAATATGTTTAATTTGTGTGATTTTATCCGTATGCAACCGATGAGGTATTTGAAAATATTAGTTTAAACTATTAAATAATAAATATGAAATATTTTATTTTTTATCAATTAATATAGAGATTTTTTAATATTTAATAAGTACATATTAAATAAATATTATTGTACTTTTTATTATTAATATATATAAATAAAATTTAATTTATAAATTTTATTAATTATTTAATTAAATTATTTTATGCAACATTAATATTAAAAATAAAATTTATTTTTATAATTTTTTATATAAATTAATAATAAAAAATATAATAAATACAACTTTATTTATCAATTATTTCTAAATTTTAAATTAATTGTACTTATTATTATTTTTGTATAGCCTTGACGTTTTGTGCGGCCTTAACCAGGGGCAAGAAGAAATGAGGAAGGGATAAGAAGTTGGCAAAAATCCTTTTTAAACCTCAAACTTATCCAAAATAGTATTTAAAGTCCTAAACTAAAAACAATATAGATAAACTCTTCAACTCTACTAATAAGCCCTTCTTACAAATAGATCAAATGGTGTGTCTCACAATAAACTAGCTCCATTTTTTTTTTTTTTTTTTGCAGTTCCACTAATATATGTAGATACATATGCTGATATGACACTGTTTACACCATAAATCATAAAAATTTAAGATCATATCACATGTCAAAAATTTCTAATGGATGGAGGAGA